GGGGGGGATTTCGCAGTTGCTTGTATAGTGTTTGCATCTTTTAGTCGGTTTTAGTTAACTTGAAAAAAAGTTATTCTGATCAAAAGTTATGACATACGCCTCCATACGTACAAATTATTTTCATTGTTATATAGTGAAAGTGCTATCTGTTACAACATGACGACTAAGACTCTTTAAAACACTTCCCTGTACGGCAAAGTTCAAGCGAAGTTCTCAAAATCGTTCAAAAATTTCTTAAAATCGTTGGAAATCTCACGAAATCTATGGAAATCGTATGAATTCGGTAGAAATTTAACGGAAATCAATTGAAATCACGTGAAATCGATGGAAATCATGTGAAATCTCGCGAAATCCCGCGGAATCAGTGAATTCACTTGAAATCTTTGAAATCCGTGGAAATTACCTGAAATCTTGTGAAATCATGTGAAATCTTTGAAATCCGGAAATCAGGTGTACAAAATTTTTCGGAGTTGTGGGCCCCTCGCGGTAGAATGAGGACATTGACATTGACTGACATGTTCTAGAAACATTAGGGCTGATACAGAGGAACTACAACAGGCCCCTCAAACTCACAGCGCCGCCGAGCCACAGGCGAGGTATGCAACACTCCTTACGCTCTTTCGAGCGGTTGTGTGCATCTCGGATCCAAGCTCCGTCTCGGTCACTTTGGCGCGAAATCTATCAACTGCTTGAATGAAAGTCAGCTGCCTGCGGCCACCCGCCGCCACTCGAGTGAGTAGTGCGACGCGTCTCACTCGCACGCACTTGTGCAGCGAGAAATCAAAACAGTTTGAGTGAGAGTCGAACCCACGTCCGCCTGGTCTGCCAGCACTGGCGCGCCGACGCCTCAGCCCACTGAGCTACCGCTGCGCTGAGGAGGACTGGCGACCGCCGGCGACCCGGTGCGGCGCGTTCTGAGGTCTCTCTCGCTCTCACACACACGGACTAGTCGGACTATGGGAGATAGTAAGAAGGGGGAATGTAATCATATTAATTACTGTAACGGGAAAATGTTTGCCCTACTACCCCCTGTCCGCCACAAAACCCTCATCAGGAACTCGAGTCGATGTCCGTGTAAATATTGGTAAATATGGCAAAAGAGTGCCCCCTTTCCCGCTGGTTCTGACACGTCTCATATTTTTGAATAACCTTCATCCCCCCCCC